AATAAAGAATATGTCATCAAATTAGTATAATTTTTTTTATATAGTTTATTTTAATAAGAAAAATAGATTAAGTGTAATTCAATTAGAAATGACATTATGGTCATTTAATAAAATATAGTCAAGATATTGAGACATTTTGCGACTAAATGTGATAGTTTAGAAAGTTTTATGCACAAAATATACTTTAAAAAAATTATTTGCAAATTCAAAAATAGTTTAGAGGAATTTTTTTACACTTTACCCAACAATAATTGAATAATATCGCTAATACATAATAACATAAACATTTGAGTGTTTTACAACTAGAATGAAAAAATGTAATAACTTTGCTAACTCTGTGATTAATAGTTGAACAATTTCCCAAGCACCCCAACAATTTTAGGATTACACCCTCTGTCCTGTAATAGTGTCACATAATATGTGCTCTTTTTGGACGTAGAACTTTCTAAGATGATATATAATAATTGCATTATCACCTTTGAAAATTACTAAGTTACTTGATCTTTCAAATTTCTATACATATATATATATATATAATTAACTTTGAAATTTTATAAAATTGTAAGAGTATTTTATGAAAAAATATAAAATGATTGATTTAATGGGACGGAGGTAGTATTATTTGGTGACTTAACGAAAAAAAAAAAAAAAAGTGATTCGATAATATATAATTTCTGATTAGCATCATTGTTATAATTATTAAAAGGCTTTCGGAGTAAACAAACACTTCACAATTATAGAACTGCTAAAGTCCAAGTTAACTAGTATTATTTATAATTAAACTAGTTTGTAAAAATGGTAGCATCTACAACAGTATCAAATGCCAGTCCTTCTTTATGATTTTAAATGTACGTCTTACATGCATAATTATTTGAGTATCCGCAATATAATATTAAGAAAATCAACTGATATGATTCTCTATTAATTAATTCTTTTTGAAAGTTGTAACCAGTAATTAATTAGATCACAAATATATACAGTAAATTGTTTCAGACATTCAACAGCCCTACTAAAGACCGCTCATTGTTTTAATTAATTTTAAAACACCTATTTCTTTCTCTTGTTTGGTAATGAATTTTTTTTATTTTCCTGAAATCATTTGTAAACAAAATTTAATTGCATGTCAACCTATTTTGAGTCTTATATACCTAGTGCCACCCCATAGAACTAATTGATAACAAAGTTCAACATATATAAATTTAAACGGACTCTAAAATTCTAATTTTAAAAGTAAAAATTCAAAAGAAACCCAATTAAAATATTTATGAAAAAAAAAAAATTGCACTGAAATGGGTTAAATTAATATTAAACTTTTTAAAGTTTCTCAAAATTTTAAAAAATATAAAAAAAACGGAATTTTCTTTGTTCCACCTCAAATCTTACAATGTGAATTTAAATTGACCTAAATTTGATGTAGTAAAAACCTAAAAAAATATTACTTTAATCTCTAGTGAGGTTTTGTCTAAACTATCTTAGTAGGGTGAAACTATTTTCAAAAGTGTGATCAACCTCCCTTAAAGTTTGACACAATCAATTTGACTGTTTTAGGTAAGAGTCACGAAAAGTCCGAGGTTTTTGTGGGATGAGGTATCTAAACTCTAATATTAAGGCTCCATTTTTTTTGAAAAATATATATTTTTGTTAAATAAAATATTATTTTATTTTTACTTTGTCGGTGTTTGTCAAAGGTTTACGTCGAGATTGAGGCAGAATCTATCGAGTGGGACATGTAAAATAACTTATCGAAAATTTATAGATAAATTATTTTTGTTAAATTTTAATATATTTTATTTTTCGTAAATATTTTAGGACAACCAAACACCAAAAAAATAAAAAAATATTTTCTAAATATTTTATATCCAAACAAACGGAGACTAAATGTTCTGCACTCGATTAACATTGCCTTTGTATGCAAAATATGAGTAAAAGCTTAGGATGTGTTTAGTAACGTTTTCGTTTTTTGTTTCTGCAATCTTAAGAAAGCAGAAACATGATTTTGTTTTCTTGAGTGAAAATAGAAAACAGAAATGACGTTTGCTAACACTTGTTGTTGCTACAAATTTGAAAACATAAAACAATAATTGTGTTTAGTAATAGAACATAATTGTTACAAAATGTACATAATATTCTTTAATTTTTTTATTTAATTTTATTTTTTATTTTTTTCATTTCTATTTTATTTTTTTCATGGCAAAAATTTTAGGAGTTAGTGATTAGAGGGGAGGGTAGATGATGAACATGGACTCTCGGATACAGGGAGCAACCCAACCACTCAAGTACGACACTTGCTTCCATTAATATAAAAAAGCCATAAATCTAGAAAATTTAATTTAAAATTATAAATCTTAAAAATACCCAATATATCATAAGTACAAAATTAGATATGCCAAGACAAAAACATTCCCACCAATTATGTATATAAATACATGTATATGCATGATGTATACATTTATTATGTGATATATAATATATTTAGCATATGATAATTTATTATGAATAAAAAATATTAAATAATATATCTTATATGTAATAAAATATATATTGTGTTATAATATTGTAAATTAATTATAATTTAATATTTACATATAATATAATATAGATATGATATATAATAATATAAATATCTACTGCTTCATAATTTAATAACATTATTATTTATATCCAAAATTATTTTGTCACAAAAAATCATTTACATTATTATTTAATATATTATATATTAAAATATATTTTTATCAAATAAAAAATAATATACAATATTTAATTTATTCTATATTAAAAATATATTTTTTTATTAACATTTAGTATGAAACTTAGTATATAACACAAATAATATGAATTTTATTTAAAATGAATAGCGTCTGTGCATTAACATTAGTGAAAGCATTTCTCTGCTACAGTGTCGAAAACATAAGAAACATCATTGTGATGTTTTCTCTTTTTTTCACAAAAATTGAAAACGTTTTCTGTTATAGAAAAACAAAAACATTTTATTGAACACGATTTTTGTTTTCATTTTGCCTTTTTAGAGGTTGACAACAGAAAATAAAAAACGTTTCTCGTTAATAGACGCAACCTTAGCTAGTACAAACTCTCTTCCCAAATGATAATTTGAGTGGAAAAAAAATTATATTTATATATGGGTTAGCATTAAAAGGTAGGTGAAACCCTATATATATATATATATATATATATATATATATATATATATATATATGGGTTAGGATTAAAAAGAAATGAATATATATATATTTTTGAACAGGGTACTATTTTAAACTCGTAATTGCTGGGTCCATTGGCTATATATATATACCCAAGCCATCTGCCTTTTTATTTCAAGTCTTCTTTTCCTAGTAGCTGCTAATCTCCATTTTGATCATCTCTGGACAGGTCTTTCTCCGAGTATTTCACTGTTTGCCATCTCTTCTTTTTTGGTATGTAAGTATTTCTAATCCTTAATTAATACTTCACTCTGCATTCAACTAGTTCATTAATTAAGGATTCATATTCATCGGCAACGAATTTGCCTTTCTACTTTTTCTTTAATTGCATACTTGTGTGCACACATAGACCCTCACATATCTATCTATCTATCTATCTATCTATATATATATATAGATATATATGCATTTTTGATCTAACTATTTTCTCATGCAAGTTTCAAGTACTAAACTTAGCTACAGTTTGGACTCCATGGAGACTGGGCAGACAGTTTCTTTCGGGCCCTATGGTGCACCAGGAGGCAATTGGGATGATGGAAAATACAGCACAATAAGGGAATTAATTATATATACTACCGATGGAGAATTTTCTGCCATCAAAGTTGTCTACGATAACGAAGGAAAGGAAGTATCCGGAAAAATAAATGGTGGTTTCTACCGAACACCAAACTCGGTAATATATATATATATATATATATATATATATATATATATATGCAATTTGATTTTCAAACTTGCCACTCATGCAAAAGTTTTGATTCTACATATATTTGCCATGCTTCTCAGGTTTTGTAAAAATTAGGTAACAAGACAAAATATCATCTCATTATTTTGTGTATATGAAGAAAGAAAATAGAAAGAAGAAAAAGAAATTTAAACTCAATGACTAAAACGATTGAAAAAAATCTAATAATTAAGCCACATTAGCATTTCAAGGTTTCAAATCGTCTAGTCACTTTCATATCACACTAATGTCTCCCTATAATATTTAATTACTAAAATATGTCTTCACTTTTATCTTTTTTTTCTCTTTTAGTATTCAAATTCATCTCCACCACTAGTTTGGTTTGGAAGAAACTAGTGGTGGAAAGTGAATGTAAAAGATAGCAAAGTAAAAGAAAATTAAGTTTTTAACGCCAATTTGGTTAGCATGAAAATTTTGCACGAAAATTTTGTAAAATTATTATTTTATGATTTGAATTGCATGTAACTTATCAAAAAAAAAAAAAACCAGGATAATAACATAAGTTTACAAAACTTTCTCAATAAATCAAAATTTTCTTAAAATGAAATCTAATGGTTTTGTCATTGCATATGAATGATATATACAAATATTAAAACTCCACAATCCACATTATGAAACATACAACTTTATATACATATCTTGATATACTAACCAGTAACCACTAAATTTTTTATCCAAATTTTGTTTTCGCCTGAGATCTGTTGTAACCTGATTTTGATCCGATTATTAGGCTTTGCCTCTCGGAAAAAAAACTTTGGCCCATTTTTGTCTTGTGGCTTGTGGACCCGGATTCTAGTCTCTATTTTAACTAGGTTTTGTAGTGTGGCAGGAGAAAACATTGAAAGACAAAATTGAGTTTGGGATAGACAAACTATTGTGGAACTAAAAACTTGTAATCTCTATTTATTTGCATATGAAATCTTTTTGTTGATCTTCATTGTGAACGCTACGGTTTTTTTTGTCATTTTTTTATATTATTTTTATCCATCGCTTTGTCACAATATCTAAGTTTATTCTTTTTTATTGAAATATTACAGGTGAAATTAAACTATCCAACCGAGTATCTCGTTTCAATATCGGGTTACTGTGGATACTTTAAAAATAGTTATCTTGTTGTGAAATCTATTACAGTACAAAGCAATATAAAGCAATACGGACCATATGGAAAAGAAGAAGGAAGTCGTTTTATAACCCCGTTAACTGCTGGCAAGATTGTTGGATTCTTTGGAAGGGTGGGTGAACGTATGGATAATATTGGAGTACACATTAAGCCATTCCAAATTACAATACCTAGTGTTGGTCCGTTTGGAACTACCAGTGGAAAACAGTGGGAAGACAAAATCTATAGCACGATAAGGGAAATAATTATACACTCCGGATGGCTAATTGATTCCATCCAAGTTGTCTATGATATTGAAGGAAGAGCACTATTGGGCGAAAAGCATGGTACTGATGGCGGACAAGAAACTAAGGTAATATATATATATGTGTGTGTGTGTGTGTGTGTGTGTGTACATTTATAATAATTTTTAAATTTGTGACTCATATATCCACAAATTCATTTGATTTTATATTTGTCATGCCTCTCATGTTTTTTAAAAACTAGCTAGCTAGAGAACAAAACATCTAAAAAGATACATATATATATTGGCCGTCCTAGTGGTCCACCAAGCATGGTAGTTAATCTGGCACAAAAGTTGAAGTTTGTTATAATTTGCCATTTAATACATAATAATAATAATAATAATAATAATAACAACAAAAATCTCTATTTTTTGTTGAAGGTTTTAATGCTCATGCTTTCATTTGTGCAAATATGAATGCCATGCATGCTTACACATACTTTTCTTTACCAATACAACTTATTTAGGTCACATTAGACTCGGATGAATATTTGATTGCAATTTCGGGGTCCTTTGGAGAAGTAGATAAGAAGATTGTTATCCGGTCCCTTGGATTTCAAAGCAACAAAAGAATGATTGGACCATTTGGCACGGAAGAGGGAGAGAAATTTCGATCCATATCAAGTACTTGTGACAAGATCATCGGATTCCATGGAAGGTCTGACAAATATCTTACTTCAATTGGAGCATATCTCGGCAAGTGAGGATAAATTTTTCACAATGACCATGAGCTTTAGTACTCTTTTAATCATTAATAATAATGACATTTGCATTGATAATAATGGATGTTATGTGTTGTCCTTAAAGCTTAGTGAAAGTGGTTAAGGCAACACAAACTTGTGTCTGTGTGTTTGATTACAAGTAATTTTCATGTTTTCTTGTGTGTTTGAGCCTGAAAGCTTGGGTTTGTTATGTATTTTGTTAAACTATGCAATTCAGTGATGAGATGCCAAATGTTATATCTGGTGTTCATTATAATAAATTGGGTGTTTTACTTGCAAATGAATAATCTTTTTGGTTGTAAAAAAATTTATGTTCTATGTTAGGAAACTCCGTCCAACTAGCTTTGATGCCCGTTATTGTAAATTAAATCCCTTTGCATTCAAGCACAACGAAAGAATATCATCACATCACATCACATCATGCTATATCAGTGAAGCACAATACACAATATTTATGTAGTTCACCTAAAACTAGAGCCACGGAGATAATTTTCACTACTATGAATCAAGAAGAGAATTGACAACTGTAGAGAAACCTAATGATCAAAAACATCTTCCTCCACAAATGTACAGCCTCTTGGAAATAACATCTTTTATTTAAGAAACTATATCCGCAACTCATTAGGCAAATGCAATCGGTCCCAAATAATGTGACCCTTCAGACTTTTCTAGCATCTTCAGAACTCCCAACCAAGAAAGTGAGACCAGTTGAACTTTTTCAGAACAACTTATATCCTTCAGGAATTTGAGACGCATCCTAACACTCTTTTGTTTAAATATATGGTTTGATAAAATCATCATATGACATTGGATTTATTTTGTAGATGGATAGTTTGTGTAGAAAAATTGTGCTTCATCCAAGATTCAAAACTCTGTTTTTAGCTTTAGAACATCGATCATACCTCAAAGAGGAAAATATATATTTAATATTTTTTTTTGAATAATTCATGTCTTTTACATAAAGTTGTAAACAAAATTTTCGAAGAAAAATTGTAAATAACAGAGAAAACTAGCTACCACTGTTACAAGGTTACTATAACAAATTTAAAAGCTTTAGCATATGGAGACATAAATGCCTTAGTTGTTATTAATAAAAATATTTTTATTCTATTAGCAAACAAATTATTAATAAAAATTTATTTGATGTGTTTGAGTTGGCAATCAGACTGTCCATAATTTTACAATTTTTTAATAAAAAAATCTGGCTACAATTTGGTGCCAAAATGTTCCTTACGTTGATTTATGATATTTAACTTTATTTTATTTTTATAGTGAGATTCGCACTTTTTTATTTTTGTTTTATTAGACTCTACTTGTTTTATCTTTTATTTGTTAATTGTATAAAACCTTTAAAAAGTCATAAAATGATTTTCATGGTACTTTTTTAGACTAAAGTTTTAGCGTTTATCACCTTAAAATATATATAAGGTGATGACAATTATACTTTTTTGTTTTATTATACCCTACTCCATGCCACTGATGAAAATTCGCAAACTTACGTCCGAAGAACCATAACATGGAGTGAAGTCACCTTCCCCGAAGAATGGACTCTCGAGCATATAACTCCTCCTTCAAAGATTGATAAATAAAAAGTTGAAACAAATCTGTTGAATTAACCAAACACACACACACACACCAATATTGCAACACACCATTTGCCCTCATTAATCACTTGTCAATGATATAGAAATGCATTGCTTGGTGGTGATCTCTAAACCCCAAGATCTCTCTCTCTTACTTACTCTTAATTGCATTCTTTTGCTATCACTTAATTTAATTTAGTTACTCTTTAATCAACCAACCAACCAATTGTTTGATCACTCGACCTACTAGCCCTAATTGTGATTCCACAACATTGCTCGATCCCCACAATCCCTTGGGATGATCCCTACTCACTCTTGTTACGTTAGTAGTAGTGTTGGTAGTGATTTTTATAAATTTAAATTTGACATAAAAAGCGTTTCTTGAACCGCACATTCACTACATTAATTTTGGCGTACAAGGAACGACCGTCATCAAATTTTGGCGTCGTTACCGAGGATTAACGGTTAGATTTGGCAACGTCGAATTTGTGGAATTGATTAAGATTAGTACTCTTTTGATCGTGTCTTTACTTTATTTATTTATTTTTTTTTTTTGGTTACTTATTGTGTTGATTACTTAACTAGGTGCATTGCTGGAGAGGAAGCAAGCAAAGGAGCCATCAAGCATTCAATTCAAGCAAGCAAAGAAAGCAAAAGGCTAAAAAATTTAAAATTGTTAAGCTAAGCTTTAAATTTGGAATTGAAATGTTAAAGGACCTTTGTGAGATTTTCTTTACTCAATCCCTTAGTTCAAGTATGGGAGTATGAATTAAATGTTTGTGAAAGAAGTCTAATTGCATTGTTGTGAAGGCATAGTGTTTGTTATTCTTTGTATTTGTTGTGTTTCGCATTGTGCATTCATGGACGACGTTCATTGAGACCAACTCTTGTCCCTCTTAATTTATATCTAGAATCTATCATTAGAAATCCTAGGGGAAGAGGAAGTTCAAATAGAGCAAATCTTTCAATGGATGACCATAATGATCATCATGTTGAGGACCTTGGTCACACAGACCAACAAGGTATCCTTCATCCCAATGTGCACAATGAGAACATACAAGAACTATTAGGCATGCCTAGGCCATTCATTCACCAACCACCACAACAACAAGGCCAAGTTCCATATGGAATGCCAAGGCCAATGTATGCTCCACAACCTCCCATCAACAGTCAAGGAATTCAAAACCAAGGTGTTCATGTTGCACCTCAAGTAGCTAATCCACCTCTTGCCTTAAGAGACCATTATGTGCCTAATGAGTATAATACACCTACATGCATCCAATTGCCTCCATTTAGAGCACATCATTATGAAATTAAGCCACAAACCATTCAAATGCTTCCTAACTATCATGGACTTCCAAGTGAAGAACCTTACAAGCATTCGGATGAGTTTCTTGAAGTATGTTCCACCGTAAAATATACAGACATGCCGGAAGAGGTTTTAAGACTCAAACTTTTTCCATTCATCTTAAAAGACAAGACAAAGTATTGGTTTAACAATCTTAGGCCTTTTCAAATTACTTCTTGGGCAGAAATGCAACAAGAGTTCTTGAAGAAGTACTATCCGGTTTCTAAGACCAATGCCATGAGGACCTCAATTCGAAAATTTTCGCATGGGGATGGAGAAACGTTTCATGAGGCACGGGAACGCTTCAATGAATTGCTTAGGAAGTATCCACATCATGATATACCCAAATGGCAATTAGTTCAATACTTCTTTGAGAGCTTATCGGACAACTATAAGGGCATGGTTGATGCTTCCATGGGTGGCTCATACATTGATAGGCATGAGGATGACGTGTGGTGTCTCTATAAGAGCATGAGTGAAAATTCTTTGCATAGAACACTATCATCCATGTGATACCCCCACATTTCCACGTGTAGGCTGGCCAGGTCCACACCCGAAAATGCGAGAATATCAAAACAATATAGTACTTAAACGAATACAGAATACAAGAGGAATAAAAAAAAATGATTAAATCGCTGAATGGAATTCTATTAATAAAATTAAATCTCTTTTACAAAAATATTTCCATGAGTTTCAAATTCTGAAAATATTATACAACTCAGGAATCCCATAAGTTAAGGACCCCTAAACCAAAATCTTATAAACCACCAGTTTATACAAAACATTTAACAATAATTAACTATACTAATTAAAGGTAAACAAGATGAGTAGATGAATGACAGTCTCCCAGTTGCGGATCCTCAACCTCGAGACTGGAACTTCTAATAACCTGAAAAATAAATCGTGGGTTAGACCCACGAGCAAGTTCCCTCTACCAAGCCTCTGAAAACCAATAAATAAAGCATCTCTAACCAAAATCATCCCAATTAAAGTTTTAACCTTTAATATAAGATGATACAAATTTATATAAATAATTATATATAAATAAAATAATCCTATCTATTAATAGGTTCACTAAATTTGTTGAAACCAATCACCAACGATTAATTATCAATCATACCTAGACTAAATCCATCATTTATATTTATTTTCCAAAACCAATAATGATTATAAGTATTTACATCACACCGCTAGGCTTTGACAAATCATCCATGTCACCACTAGTATTATTTTGTTAATATGTATAAAGTAATACACTATCCTGAAAGTATTAGACTATTCTAATTTAAGAATATCTAATTAATCCTAATCCAACCTATACATGCAATACTTATAGATGATATATTTTAATCATCTAACACATAACAATAATACACTTTGGCAAATCAACCATGCTCTTATAAATATATTTATTTA